AAAAATAAAACAGGAAATTTGCAAGTAAATGGATAAAACTGGAAAATACTATATTTAGAGAGATCACCAGAACCAGAAAGACAAATGTCTCATTCTCACTCTCAAATCTTTATTTTTGTGTGTTTAACCTGGTGACAAGTGGGAGCCAGGAAAATAGAAATGATCATTTGATTGAGAGAGAGGTTCATTAAGAGAGAAATAAAAATAGACTACAGGTAAGATGAGAGGAGAGAGGACTATCAGGGGTAGAAATTCAGAATCAGGGATTGGGTTTGGAGGATGGAGAAAAGGAGGGCAGGAGCAGATTTACTGAAAAGGAATGGTATGTGCAAAGCCACATTAAATCCAAATGTGGGCGAAATTTTACATTGCATGCTTTAGATATCTATGTAAATATACCTTTTTATTGAACATTATTTTCTCATTTAGTTACTGTCCTTGAAATCGATAACAGAATTCTGTTATTTTCTTTAGATGAAATTCTAAACAGTCTTAGAAAATAAGAAACATGGAGCCAAATACAGGGGTATTAGCAGAAGAGATCAGAGAAATATCGAAGAGCCACTGACTACCCTTTAGATTATCACCAAGCCATAGTTTCCCACACAAGAGACCTTCTTCCTGCTTAACCTATGCTTTTATTGCTTTCCTGTTCTGCCTTCTCATTGGCTCTAAGCCCAGCCACATGACTTCCTCATCACTGCCTGTCTATACAGACCTCCAGGTCTCTATGGTTGGTACTGGAATTAAAGGCTTGTGTCACCACGCTTGGCTGTGTCCTTGACCACACAGAGACTTTGCCTGCCATGTGATTGCATTAAGGGCGTGGGCTACCATCACCTGACTTCTGTATCTGGCTCACTATGACCTCTGATCTCCAGGCAAACTTTATTTATTAACATACAAATAAAATTACATTTCAGCACAATTAAAATATCACCACAATTTTCTATAATTTCCCCAAACAGTTTGTACTTAGACTTCTTTTTTTTTTTAAATCTTCTCTCTTTGGACAAAATGTATCAGTAGACATCTGCATCACTGTTAGAGTGACCATCTCTCAAAAGCTACTTCTTTCCTTCACTAATTTTGATGTATTTCAATTGATATAACTTATTGACAGAATAAAATGTGTAGATAATCAGTCATGTTTGGTGAATCAAACCTTTTGTCATTATAGTGTAATAGGTTTGCACTGGGTGGTTTTGTGTGTCAACTTGACACAAGTTGGAGTCATCAGAGAGGAAGGAGCCTCAGTTGAGGAAATGCCTCCATGAGATCCAGGTATAAGGCATTTTCTCATTTAGTGATCAATGCAGGAATGCCTGCCCTGAGGGAAGATGGGCTGAGTAAGCCATGGGAATCAAGCCAGTGTGTCAGCTCTTGCCTCTGGGACCCTGCACTGTTTTAGTTTCTGTCCTGACATCAGTGATGAACAGCAATGATGAAGTGTAAGCCAACTAAACCCTCCCGTCCCCAACTTGCCCATTGGTCACGATGTTTAGTCACAGCAATAGAAACTCTAAGACAAAGGTAATGTATACTAATTGAAAATGTTGTTGTGGTTCTCAGTAATTACTCTGTGATATCATCTTGATGTATAAATGAGACATGCAAACTCCTAAATGAATTGGCAGGGGTGTAGGTGAATATGTCTCTATATGTTCTATTATACAATAAGTTGAGGGCTTTCAGGAAACAATTTTTCTTTACTTTTAATTTATTTATTTATTTGTGTTCTTTGGTGTTTTTGTCTTGTTTTATTTTTGTTTTTGTTTTGTTGTTGTTGTTTGCCATTGGTTTCAGGTACCCTGGAACTGGAGTTACAGGTAGTTGTGAGCTGCCATTTGGGTGCTGGGAATTGAACTCAGGTCCTCTGGAGGAGCAGCCAGTGCTCTTAACCACTGAATCATCTCTCTAGCTCCCAGGAAACTTAAATTAAGGCACGTGGACTGATTACTTTACAAATTTGAGGGGTTTCTACATATTCTTACTAATTGGTTTACATAGATATTATTAAAAATTTTAATATTTTATCTCATGCAAGATTTGCTTTTTTTCTGAAATATATGAAATATATGTTTTCTTTTTATGTAGAATCCATAATAACATCCTTCCAAAGTGCTATCAAAGATAAAATACAGAACAAATTAATGTTTGTATTTTCTCTTTCTAGCAAGGATTAATTTTGTGTGTGTGTGTGTGTATGTGTATGTATGTGTGTGTGTGTGTATTTGAACCACTGAAAAGTAAACATAATTTATTCTTCCAAATTAACACTGTGGAATTAAGCCAAAATTTGGTGTTTGTTTCTGCTTTTATGTGATTTCTTGGAGAAATCAAGTTATATAAGCAAATACCGGCAACATTTGGAATTTCAAATTAAAATATTGGTCTAAAAATTAAAAATTTCCATTTTGTAATTTTAAGGAAAGAAAACTAAGCATTGATTGTAAAATTGTGGACATAAATAATCCTACATAATAAAAGGATGTGGGAAGCTGAATTACATTGAAAGTTTTTGTGGCAATTGAGGCACACATTTTTAAAATTTAAATCTTTAGATGATTTTCATTGCTACAACACTGAGCAAACTATTTAGAATTTCTGAATACTCTCTCAGCTTATAAGAAACAACAAGGATTCAATTATATATCTCAAAGTGCATGAGTTAAATTTTCTTTTACAAGCAATGTAATATTGATCACATGTAAATTTAGAAATATTAAAGACCTCTGCACTGTGGAGGATTCTGTATATGCACTTGAAAAAATACTGAAGTTTATCTGTTCTGATATTAAAACAGCATTCAATGATTATGGTTTTGATAGTAAATCATTTCATTATTATTTTCAATGTAAAGTATTTTTCTTTGAATTCATACATTTGATCTGTTACATCTTGTTTTGAATATAATCTGATATGCTTGTTTTGGAATCTAATTATAATCATTATATTTAGTTATTTAAATGATTAGATTTGTCAGACATTCTACTGTTTTGTAGAAATCATATTTAGTCTGTCTTGTTAGTTTTTGCACAGAAACATTATTTTTAATGAAATCCTCCTAATGAACCACCTTATTAGAGTGTTTATGTCTGTGCTACATTTAGAATAATTTTAGTGATTATTCTGGGTCATAAATGTAAACTTGAACAAATGGCAAAATACTTTCAAATAAAAAAGACATAATTCTGAAAATGTAAAACATTTCCAGTTTATACCCCAATTTCTTGTTATTGTCACATATTTTATTTCTATATCTCCTATGGCTCATAGTTACTACTTTATGACTATGTTATATGACAACATCATTATTGTTAGTAGAAATGAGTTTCATTAAAAATATGTTAAATCAATGCATTTAAAAATAAAGACTAAATGGGGATATATCTCATATGTATTAATTCTAAAGTTTCTGTGTCCTAAATATTTCAAATGGAGTCTAGAATCATTTTTTTCAGCATAGATGTTTTTATTATTTAACTAACATCTAGATTGTTAAAGATTTACATGTTCTCTCTCCCTTCTCAGCACATCTAGAAAATGTTGGCGCTAGAAACACTCCTCTACAAGGCAATACACAGTCTACAAGGGAGAAAATGTATCAACCCTTACCAAGCAATGAATGCTGTTAACTATAATAAGAATTTGCTAAGTTAGGTGTGCCCATAAATGGTATGATTATTATCGGGATAAATTAGTCTCTAATTGAAAATGAAATGTGTTCCACAGAGTGAATCTCAGTCCCAGTGTTGTACATCTGGTCAGAACTGATCACTTGTGAGGTCAAAAGACCTATCAGAGTAATTAGTACTGATATTCATATGCAAATGTGTGTGTGTGTGTGTGTGTGTGTGTGTGTTTGTGGAGTGGGGGGTAATGCTTGAGTCCATCATCCAAGGGAGACAATGGAGGACTTAATGACAGGAATTTTGGAGTAGAAACTGACTCTGAGTCATGGAAGAGTACATTCCTTGTTCATTCCTCACGTATTTCTTAGCCTGCCTTCTTGTACAACTCAGGACCTTCTGTTTATGGGTGGCTCTAAAGCCTGTGGTATGGGACCTTCCACATTAAGTACTATCAAGACAATACCCCACTCACTTTCTAATAGAACAATCTTATGGAGGCATTTTCTCAGTTGTTATTTCATCCTCTTTGATAACTCTATCTTGTGTCAAATTGTTACAAAACTAGTAATCACAAGACACAAGCAATCAAAATTTCATATATACCTATTAGAAATTTCCAAATATCACCTGGGCAGTGGTGGCGCACGCTGTTAGTCCCAGCACTCGGGAGGCAGAGCCAGGTGGATCTCTGTGAGT